ACTTTTTTCCGGTTTGGATCGGTTTTAGTTACTTTAATCCAATGAAATTCGCCTAGATATATGCGATTTGCAAGTTGAGAACACGTGCTGGTTTAAACTAGAGGGTATTTCTGTAACTTCCTATTTCGAGAGGATTTAATAAAGGTTACGTCTCTGCCAATTCGTGAAACACGACCTGTAACCCTAGCCGCCTTGGAAAATTTTTTCAAAAGAAATTCGACTCAGATCCTCATCTTCTTCCAGATCGATCTTCAAATCAATTGTAAATTTTCTTGTTCTTCTTGATTTTACCTTTCGATTGATACATGTTTTGTTATCATCCTTCGATTTTTTGTCAAATCTGGGGTTTTTTTTTGTTACCGATTTCTCGATTGAGATCACAAAAACGACAGATCTGTTTAGGCTTTTGTTATCCCAGTCGAAATTTCCAGTTTTCCCCAATTTTTTTTAACCCTAATTTATACGTCGATGGATTTGATGACCTAGGGTTCGTTAGATCTTTAAATTGATTTGGGGCTTTTGTTCATCTTCCTCAATAAACCATTGTTTGTTTGTTATTCGAGTCTTGATTTCATGATTCTCGTGTTGAATCGAAAAATCTAGGGTTAGGGTCTCTCTCTCGAATTTGGGGATTTTTTTTAATTAAAAAAAAATTGGAGAAACAATTAAAAGTTTGACCTTTGACTCGAAATTAATATCACACCAATAATCATCAAAACTTTTATTATTTCCTCTATTAGAAAAAAAACAACATTGTGGGTCCGAAATTACTATAAACTCACATCAAAATCAAATCTTTTGCATCTGAATATGTAAATTATCAAACTTTAATGCCAAGCAAGTGGCTAACGTAACATTGACTTTGGTTATTTACAAATTCAGGTCTTTAAAAAAATGGGATTGAAGCGACCATTTGATGCTGAAGAGATGCAAGAGTGCAATGCTAAGCATGCAAGGCAGCTTAGTTACAGCTCTAAGCAACTTAACCAATTAGATGAAGCTATTCCATATCATGTTCCTTTCGACAAAACAAGTGTCTTAGGTACTGTTAAAGTGCCTCACAATTTTTGAAGTGTCTTTAGTTTTAAAGCAATATATGTTAAGTTAACTTTGGAAGTCTCCTGCAATGTGTGTTATTTTGCAGTAGAGGAGAAGAAGCCTTCATGGGCTTATGATACATGTGCACCAGTCTCGTGGATCCCAACCGGTTATTGTCAGGAGGATTCGCGGTCTGGCGGGACGACTCAGTCATCTGTTTCTCAGCAATCTTCCGGTTCGGATTTTACCTGGAGACCACTTTCTCCAGTGGAAGATGTTTACTCTTGTTTGATGAATCTTGCTCCGAGGAAACAAGTTCCGGTTGGGTCTAATCACCAGGCGGATGTCCCTGAATACGTGAAGGAAGAGACTAACAACGGTGACTTGGAACGAAAACTGATGGGGAAGTGCATAATACCTATGCCTGACTCAGACGTTTGTGGAGTTGGTCAAGGAAGAAAGGAATGTCTTTGCCCAGATAAAGGTTCCATTAGATGCGTGCGGCGACATATCGTGGAAGCGAGAGAGAACCTGATCGAAACTATTGGTTACGAAAAGTTTACGGAGCTAGGGTTCTGTGAAATGGGTGATGAAGTTGCAAGCTTATGGACTGAAGACGAAGAAGATCTCTTCCATAAAGTTGTATACTCCAATCCTGTTTCGCTAGGTCGCGATTTCTGGAAGCAGTTAAAAGCAACCTTCCCTTCAAGAACCATGAAGGAGCTTGTTAGCTACTACTTCAATGTCTTCATCTTGCGGAGACGGGCTACTCAGAATCGGTTCAAGACCGTAGACGTTGACAGCGACGATGACGAGTGGCAAGTAGAATACGACGTTTTTTACAGCGCCAAATCTTTAGATGAGGAAGACGACGACAACAACGGAAGAAACTCCTCACATGAAGATAACGAGGAGGAAGAAGACGACAGTAGCGATGATGACGATGAAGAATCACCGATTAACGATGTTCATTGTGTATATATGGATAAGTTTTCAAGAGACGAAGGTGTTGGTGAAGAGGTAAATGTAGAAGACGACTCGTGCATGTCCTTTGAATTACAGGACTCGAATTTGATCTACTCTCACAACCCAATTGAGAACAGAGACTGCAGCAGATCTGGTGGTGATGATCATTCGTATTCATTTGATGATCGGAGACTTACATCAGATTGTTGGAACAAGAACAACGATCTTCTACCAACTTCGAATATCATCGAGGAGATATTTGGTCAAGACGAATGGGGAGATAATGATGATGATGATAGCTTGAAGGGGAAGTAAATGACTCTTCTCCATGGAATTCTTCTGCAAGGTTTTATCCTTTTGATTATTTAAAGATGCTGAAGTTTCAAAGTTTCTTCCTTGGGAATTTTTTGGGGGTTTTTTTTAGGTTGAAGAAGAAAAGACTCCTGATTGATTTGACTCTGTATAAAAAGCTATAAAAATCCAGGAACTTTTTTTTTTTTTTGATTTCTCAATATTATTTAATGTATAGTTGGACTAGATTTTGCTGT